TAGCTTAAAGAAGCAGTGAGACCCTCCTTTCCAGGGTGAACTCTCTCCCTATGCCTATGAATTTACAGCCTCGATCTAACCTTTCAGGAAAACCTGCACTACTACCATAGCTCTATTTGTGAAAATGACTGGAAATATGGACAAATTCAAGTAAAAATATGCAAATAATTTCACCATAGAGTTTTATGCAGAAAATTTCTCTATTAACCTTCCAGTAACCCTATGTATCACAATAGGAAATGCTTTTCTATTTCCTTTGGCATTAACTCTAACTGCTCAAAAGTAGCCTACAGAATACCATCCGTGTATTTACTTTCCCTTCTTATGACATTCATTTTTATAGTTTAAAAAGAAAAATCAACTGAGTAGTAATATATACTTATAGTTTATATTCACAAAGTGATTACAGAACTAGGACAGATTTTCTCCATAACATGCTCAACTCTTTCCCCAATCACTAATCTTTTAAACAATGAAAACTGACAATGGAACTTTTACTAAGCAGCCTCAAACCAATCTTACAAGCTCAACATGGCAAGTTTCAGACACTAGGAAGGGGTGGAGTGGCAGAAACCAGAAGTCATGTACATTTAGAGACATGTACATTTTTCTTTTTGAAACACTGCACCTGCCAAACAGCAAAGTTACATGAAACAAACTGTGACCAGTGGCTGCCTCCATGTAACCAGTGATTCCATTTTCCAGAGTCAGTGTGTCCCATAGTATCTACACATCCAGTCTGCAGCATGACATTTTATATCCAGACGCCTCCTTGTTAAAAGTCAGCCAGCTGTAAGTAGGTGGTAGGGTGGGTAGACAGTGAAGCATCTTCTCTCCTCCCTCTCTGAGCCTGAGATCTCAAATTCCACCAGTTAGAGTCAGTATTCATAGGAAGAAAATATGTGTCTAAGATCCATGATGGTACAGTCAGTATACTTCAGGTATATGCACTATCTAGCAGGTAGTCGCCCAAGAAGTCTGGAATGAGGGTAAAAATCTTCAAGGAAAATAATGTAAACATCAACAGAAAAAAAAAAAAAAAAAAAAAAAAAAAAACTTTGTATTTTTGGAAAATTAAAAGCATTTCTACTTCTTAACCAAAGTATTGGGTTACATAAATGCACATTTGTCAAAAATAATTTATACATGCCAGTTCTGCACATTTCAATGTATAAACATTACCTTAATCTTAAAAATCACTTATTTAATAAGCTCAGACACTAAACATAAAAAGACAAAACAAAGAAAATGAAGTCTATGAAAATGAAAGAATTCTATTTTGTAGGATGTGAAGATATCTTATCAATACTTTACTTTCTTTCCAAATCGACAGCAGCATATTTTTAAAAAGCATTTTGCAAAAGTGTATCTATAATCTGTTAAAAACCAATCTGTGTGAATTTATTTAAACTACATGTGAATGCCTGGTTTGTTCCAAGAGATGTGCTGCGTGTCGGGGACACTGGCCCCTCCTCCTAAAATTCAGTCTGGCATGGGCACCTGGATGGCTCAGTCGGCTGAGCATCCAACTCTTGATTTGGGCTCAGGTTATGATCTCACGGTTCATGGGATCAAGCCCGAAGTCGGGCTCCGAGCTGACAGCATGGGATTCTCTCTCCCCACTATGTTCTGCCCCTCCCCCTGCTTGCCCGTGCTCTCTCTCTCAAAAGTAAATAAACATTAATAAAAAAAAAAAAAAAAAAAAAAAAAAAAAAAAAAAGTTTGGTCTGGCAGAGAAATGAGGCCCTAAACAGTTAATGATGATTATGGCGAATGCCGCAAAGGAACAGCACCGGGTACGGTGAGACAACTGCAGTCGGCGGGCAGTACACGGCACAGCTCAGGGAAAGCTGCCCAGAAATTGAAGCTAAGACTTAAAAGGATAAGTAGGAGCAAATCACGTAAAGAGAGGAAACATTCTGGAAACATTTCCAGACAGAAGACATATGTGAAAATTTCAAGATGAGCCACACAAATTTCAGCAGGGCAGTAACTTGATCATGTGGCTTTCAGATAATAACTCCAAGAGCAATACGGAAAAGAAAATAGCAAAGGACACAGTGAATGTTCTAAGACTAGTTACTGAATACTCCGAGAGAGAAACGAAGGTGCTTTCATCCTGGGTAGTGAGGAAAGTGGAAAAACTGCAGAACGTAGACATCCGTGAAGTAGAGAGAACGGGGAAGATACTGACAAGAATAATTCCCAGGTTTCTGGCATAGAAAATGGAATGATCAACAGGTTCATTTGAAAATGCCTATTCCGAAGTAGCTCTCAGACAACAAATACAAAGGTAGCCATCAACTTGACAAACGAATGTACCAAATCTCAATCTCACAGAACGAGGCTAGAGATAAAATGTGGGAATCATCTGCACAGAGGCACTAACCGAAGCTATGGTAGCAAACGAGGTATGCCAGGAGGAGGAAAAGTCTGGGTTACTACACCCCAAGAAGGCCTCCATTTAAAGGGCTGAGGAGAAAGAAGAGAAAGTACTTGAAAAGAAACAGAAAGGTAGGAGGCACACCAAAGGAGTGCTAGGTCACCGGAATTAAGGACCCAGCACACGAGAGGAAGAAAAGAGTAGCCACCTGTGCCAAAGGCCGCTGCAAACAGTCAAAGGGCAAGAGCAGTATTCACAGTGATCTCTGCCTTCAGAGATGTGCAGACCTGGTGATTCTAGTGAGAGCAAGACGGAACAGCACAGTTGAGGAAGCAGGTGGAACTGGAACATACCCAAAGTGATGAAAGATGAGAGAAGGGAGACAGCAAGTGGCGACATGTCTTACGAGACACTTGGCTGTGGATGGCAATGGAGACCCTGAGAGGCAGTGCAGGAGTCCAACAGAAAATTTAGTAGAATTTTATTTTGAGGATGTGAGTAGCCTGAACATGTCTCATGCTGATGAGTAAGACTCAGTAAAAAGGCAGAGCCCTGAAAATACTTTAGGTTTTTGACAAGGTAGAAAGGAATGGGATGCTTAGCACAGGAGGAACACTGGCCTTTAACAGGAGAGGAGACACTGCCCTCCATTAAAACGGGAGGGAAAGAAAAAAACACAGAAGGGGAGAAAATACAGACAAAACTGTAGGTAGAACGGTAAGAACCGAACACGGGTTCTACCCGATGCTTCTTGCTCTTTCCCCTGGGAAGTGGAAGGCAAGATCATTTATTTATCAAGAGTGAGGAGGCCAGCAGGAGAGCTGAACGTCTGAGGAGAAGTGGAGGGAAAAGACGACCGCTGGACAGTGTGAAGGGTCAACTGGAGGTCCGTGACAAAGGACAGACAGTGGCACTGATCCACCCCGTGTGGGGTTTCCTCCAGCAGAGGCCCAGGAAAGGGAGCTTGCTGGGTTTAACCAGGGTTGAGGCACTATCAGACGGGTCTGATGAAAGAAGAAGGGACAAGAAATACTCATCCTAGTAAGTTGTGACGGAGCACATGACGCTACGGTCCAGGTGCTGTAAGTGCTATGCATGAATGGCAGCTTCTAGCCTCGTGGCTACCCTACCCGCTGAGTACAACAGTATGCTCGTTTCATGAATGAGGAAGCTGAGGAATAAACTAATTAGTTTCTGGACTATGGTCACATAACAGGATTCAGGCTTGAGATTTCACTTGGGAACCCTCTCCCCGCTCCCCCCTACCCCAAAAGGGAACTGAAAGAAAACAGAAGTTTTTAAAATTATGTCAGAGTGGGGGGTGTGTATAATATTAAAATATTCTTTTATCAATAGAGTAATGGACCATGAAATTACAAGTGGTTTTCTAGCTTAGTGTTTGTGTTAAAATTTAAAGACTCCTCAAATCCAGAACTTAATGAGACTGTGCAGTACAAGCTAACTTGTTTCACATTTATATCCCAGGCAGTAGGATGGATGTTTTCACAGGTGATGTCATTTACCTCAAACTGTCAGCACAAGATGAATCTATATCCTGAAGAGGAAAATGAGGCTCAGAAAGGCTAAACGATACGTTATACCTTTTAGCAAAGCCCTGAAAAGTGAAGTGGCCTTTCCCTGCCCGTCTTGCCACTGAGCCCCAGGAAACCAGGGCTCACAGGCCTGACTGGACTCTGCGCAGAACGAAACACTCCACGGCTGTTTGCTCTCGTGGGAACTTCTTTCCAACCATCGCTTTACTCTATCAAGTGAAAGAAACTAGGCCATGCTCTCACCACTATAGCTAAAATCAAACTAAAGAAGCTGAAAATAAAAATTTGAAAAGCAGAGTAAAACCTGAGAAGAAAATCTTATGTCCAATTCCCAAATATAAACACTAAAGCAACAAGAAAAGTCATCAGACTTGATCATTCTGCGGTGACACAATAATTAAGCTTGATGAATGCAGCTCCCTACCATGAACACACACCAAGGTAAGAAAAAACTTGGTTGTTTAATCTCTTTGAAAGTTATTAAACAGCTCAAGTCGATGTTTTCCAAATTGTCTTGCTGAACAAGATATTTTTCTTGACTCATAAAAACATAAAACAGTCGCAACAGATAAAAAATGGAATATATATCTGAATAACATATATACAGCAAAGATTTACTATGAAGTCAGAAGCTATTAGAGTGCACTTATTACAAAAATATTTGTATAAAACGACATCCTCATCACTGAAGATGTAAGGACATTAAGTTTTAAAAACTTGTAAGAGAATACTAAGCTTTCATCTGTCTGCTCGCATTCAACCAGTTACTCAAAAAGAGATGTCAGTAAGGTTTTCAGTATTTTCCATTTTGAAACACAAAGTGCTAGATACTGAGAAAACAAAATTAAATCTTTCTCTTTCAGTTTTCCATTCTAATCATTAAATATAAACAAGTAAGATTTTAGTTCACACGAGCTAAGGTAGGTCCTTGCAAAGGAAATATGGTTTATTTAAAACAACAACACATTCCACACTGACCTGTAGCATCCAACTAAATGTGACAGAAAGACACCGTGTTTTGAAATGGCTAACTTCTAAAGGAAAAACAAAAAAGCTCTACTTACCATATACATCAGTATGTCTCTAATCATCACCATAGCTGTTTGATGATCATTCCAAGCTTGATTTAGCGTTTGAAGAAAGTTGTTATTCAATGAATTTAGTACATCTTCTCGCACCTATTGACAGAAGAGTTCATTACAGTTTGTTGACACGCCTACACGCTCTTGTACGTACACATGTACATATCTGTTCAATAAAACAAAGTGTAAATCTCCAATTTTCAATCAAAGAAACACATATTAGACCAGTGGAATTATTTTAAGCTCTAATATTACCTCTATACAGACAATTAACAAATGTGTCATGTAGTCCAGACCCATCTCCTCACCTCCAGAATCAGAAAGCCACCTCCTGGGCATTTCTCAACCCTCCAACAACTTAACATCACAGTAAGAATAAAATGCTAAATACTGGTAAGAACTACAGGGCCCCACATAACTGGCCCCAGGCTACTGCTCCAACTAAATTTCCTACGACGCCTCCCTTTCCCCATCTTTATAGAATGGTTGAGAATGTTGACTTTGGAGTCAAACTACCCGGGCTCAAATCCCAGCGCCCTGACTAGCTGTGTCACCTTGTGTTAAAGTTATTTCAACTCTGTGCTTCAGTTTCCTTATATGTGAAATAGTAGCAACACACTTAGAACAGTGCTTGGCACTCTGAACACTGAATGAGCATCAACTATTAACGCAGTGTGCTCCAGCTACAACGGAGCCGCACACAGCAACCGTGCTCTGCCCCTTTCTTCTGCAGGCTTCACAGAGCTCACGCCCTCACTTCTTTCTGCTCAAGTTTAACCTCCACACAGAGGTCTTCCCCGACCGCCCTATTTCAAACAACAGCCTCTATCTCCACTCTTAACCCTAAATTTTTCCTCACAGTACTTGTCACTACCTACTCTGTCACATATTTATCCGTTTACCGTCGCTCTCACTAAAACGTAAGAACGACGGCAGCACGGATTCTGACTTCTCTGTGTGCCTCCCACACCTCACAGTGCCTGGCATCTGTAAGACCCTTTACTTCATTCACCCTGCCCTTGAACACCATGATCCACCTCCAACACCGTAAGCTTTTTCAGGATATCAGCCTTTGCACATCAAGTTGCCCGGAGTCTGAAATGCCGTCCTAATGCAATCCTGCTAAGACAACTCAGCCGTCAAGAATTCCTTCCCACCGTCTACAAGCATACTGCCACCTTCTCTAGTAAGAGGTTCCGGACCACTATTTCCTGCCGTGTGATCAGTCCAATGGGAAGACTGCGGACTAGAAAACGGAATGCAGACTCTGGTTCTAGCTTTATCATGAAGAACCAGTGCGCCTGTTCTCTAAGTTCCTACAACACTTTGGGACCACACTGCCAACCTCTCAATCATTCACACCCAACCAGTCCTCTGTGGTCTAGCTCAACTCCCAACTCCAGTGTCAGCAGACATGTTGTATCCCCAAACATCTGCAGTAGTGGTTAAACATTTCTAGGTTGGGGAGAATCTGAAGTCATGGTGGTCTGTGAGAAATGATTTCATGTGTGTTGACATATACAGAGATCTATCAACTTGAATTATAAACAGTAAATAAAATTCCATTGTGTGTTAGCACTAGTATAAACAAGTATAAGCAAGTGGTTGGAAGTACCAAAGACTGAAAAAAAATACACGAAACACACTATTCCCAACAGACGAGAAAATAAGTTCAAACTGAGAAAAATGCATCTATCTTTTCTTCTATGTTAGAGGAAAAATGGTCATTAAGAGGTTTTAGTGAGGAGACAGTATGTCTGTTCTACTCTACGTATCTTATGAAAACCACTAGCCTATATGACGTTAATTTAGAATTTTATTTTATATATAATCTTTTCTTCATAAGACTAAGTTCCTTGACTTCAACACATATCACCCATCAATATTTGGACTATATCAAAAGCGATAAACACTCATGTAGGTTCGTAGACAGTACTGTGTTAAATAAATACATTTTTGTAAAGTGGGTAATGTATCATTTATTTCAACTCATTAAGTCTACCACTTGTCAGATGCAAATTCCCAAGGTAGCTAACGGTAGAAAAACTACAAAATGAAAATACACCTATTTATAACATTTTTCACCAAGCTTCATATTCGTTCACTGAAACACTAAATTCTGAGTAGCAATTAAATTAAAATCATGACAATGCCAGAGAAATCGTACTATATGACAAAAATAAAATGTCTGTATTCCAAACATCAGAATATCTAGCAATTAATTATTCTTAAGGACTTAAATGAACTTTGGTATGACCCTTTGTTATAAAATCAAGTTACACTTAAACTGTATTAACGTCACCCTAATTTTGGAATGCAAAAATGTGCTTGGTATATCTGTTAGATGAATGAAAAACTTGCCAATTAAAAATTTTAAGGTTATTTAAAAAAAGATGTTTCCTAAAATCACTAACTTATATACACTTTAAAATAAAACATACCAAGTACTTAAGTAATATTCGTATTTCTTGCTGCCTTTCAACAAAATGAAAAATGTGATCAATGAGCACAATGTGTCATAAATTATAAAACTGCTTTATTTGCATACTTCAAAAACTTATCCTGACATATCAGTAACAATGAATTTTACTTAGCAGAAAATATCTGCTATTAAGTTAATTTTGTTGTATTTCATTTGTCTGTCTACTGTTGAAGTGAGATGTGGCCATGGATCTGCTTTGGCCAATGACATAAGCAGAAATGATTCATCACTTCCACATGATGTAAACTTTACCAGCTTAATTTTTAAGTGTAAAGTTCGGCGGTATTAAATACATTCACAATTAGCTTTTATAACGGGACATGGGAGTTCTAAGAGGTGTCCCAGAAGATGTTTTTCAGACATACTCTTACATTTATTTTTGAATGACTATGTACACACAAATACAGATATGTGACTGGAAGACATAAAATAAATGCCTTAGATACACTTGCTGCATTCTCCTCTTATTCAGATCACTCTGTGAGCAAAAAAATTCTTCTAATGCTGCCTCAGAAAAATCTTTTTCTACTCGGAGACATGAAGAGTGAGCAAGTATTTGTTCAAATACATACCATCAAAAGGAGGAAGGAGATGAAAATTCAACCGTTATGAGGATTAAAATGGGGTTCTTAAAAGAAGGTATGTTCGTACATAAGTCAAAAAACACATTAAGTGGGGAAAAAAAGACTTAACCCTTATTTTACAAATCGTTAACAGAATACAGAAAATTTGAAATAAAAAGTGGGGTCAGTTTGTGTGTGAAATAACACTGTTCATCTCGCCCCCTAACACACCCTGCACTGGTTTTTGCACCAGCGAAGGCAAGCAGGAAGGAAGCCTGCCGTAGAGGTGGTCCAGTCCAAAGTGGACCTGCAGATCAGGTATGTGCAACATTGTTATGTAAGAAAAGCTACATGAAGGTTGTCCAGATGAAGACCTGGAATTTGAAGTGTGAGACAAGGAAAAACAAGTAACAAAGTCATGAAAACAGAGAGTAGGATGGGACCAGCTGACAAGGCTAAAATGAGCAGTTGAAACCTGATGGCTGTTCATGGCCCTTGGCCTTGCAAAAAGCAAGATACAGACAGCAGTCGAGAGCAGCAGATCACAAACCTGACAGAGGATTAGAATCACTTGAAGAGCAACAGATTTTGCTGAAGAGAATGAGATGACAAGACACATACTGGGAGAAAATATCTGCAAAAGGCCTATCTGGCAAAGGACTATTATACAAAATATACAAAGAATTCATAAGACTCAACAAGAGAACCCAATCTAAAATACTGGCAAAAGACCTGGCCACCTCACCAAAAAGATAACCAGATGGCATACTGAGAGATATTCAATCTCTGATTAAGAAATTGCAAGTTGAGGGGCCATCTGGCTGGCTCAGTTGGTGGAGAGTGAGACTCTTGATCTTGGGGTTGTGTGTTCAAGCCCCAGAGATTACTTAAAAATAAAATCTTAAAAAAAAAAAGAAAGAAATTGCAAATTAAAACAACAATGGGACATCCTTTACGCATCTATCAGAATGGCCAAAATCCAAAACACTGACTACACTAAATGCTGAGGTGGATGTAGTGAACAAGCTCTTCTACTCATTACTGGTGGGAATGCAAAATGATACACAGTCTGGCAATTTCTTACAAAATTACATGTACTCCAACCATACGATCCAGCCATGATGCTCCTTGGCAGAAGTACCAAAGGAGTTAACAATTTATGTCCACACAAAATCCCAGGTTCAGATGTTTACAGTAGCTTTATTCATAAAGTCCAAAACTTGGAAGCCATCAAAATGTCCTTCAGTAGGTGAAACAATAAACTGTGGTGCATCCAAACAATAGAATATTCTTCAGTACTAAAAAGAAATGAGGCATTAAAGCCATGAAAAGAGACGGAGGCACCTTAAATGCATATTATGAAGTGCAAAAACACAATCTGAAAAGGCTATCTAACGGTATCACTCCAACTACATGACATTCTGGAAAAGGCAAAACTAAGGAGACAATAGAAAGATCAGTGGGCATTAGGGTGGAGGGAGAGATGAACAGGCAGAGCACAGAGGATTTTTAGGAGAGTGAAACTGTTCCGTATGGCACTACAATAGTGGATACATTTCATTATACATTCACTAAAATCCACAGAATGTACAACACCACGAGTGACCTCTAATATAAAATATGGACGTTGGGTGATAATGATAAATCACTGTGGGTTAATCATAATAACAAATGTACCACTCTGGTATGGGATGCTGATAGTGGGGGAGACAGTGGGAAATATACAAAATGTCTGCACCTTCTCCTTAATTCTGCTATGAACCTAAAACTGATTTCAAACAATAATAATAAACTGAACTTCATCAAAATTAAAAACTTCTGTTCTGAAGACTGTTTAAACAGTAAACAAGCTACAGAATGGGAGAAAATACCAAATAATTTGTATCCAGAATAAATCTCTCACATCTGTCTCTATATAGAGATACACAGGGAGAGAAGAACTCTTACAACTCTGTAAAGAAAGCAAACAATTAAGAAATGGGCAAAAGACCTGAACAGACACTTCACCAAAGACGTTATATAAAGCAATTCTGCACGTGAAAAGAGATGTC